CCCCAAAACCCCAAAACCCCAAAACCCCAAAACCCCTTTACCACTTTATAAGATTGATTCAAGTATTCATGAACATATTATTCTTAAAACCATTCTATAAATCCTCGAAGTCATCATCCCAGACTTCGGAGTCATCTTCAAATTCGTTTTGGGCATGTTCTCTTATTTCTGAATCATAAATTGAACCATCCTCTGAAGAATTTTCATTATGGTTGTCTAAAAGAAATTATGAGATTAAGGGAAGTTTAGGTGACTTACAGTAAATCTCTCCAGCAGCTCTGTCCGTGTCTATTCCTCCGCAAGATTCAATTGCATACAAAATTTTATCTCTACAAGCCTCATCAGTCGTATATCTTGGTAGGTCAAACTGGAAGAATCAAGTGTGAGCTTCAGGGAGATGAGTATCATGGTTATCAAATCTACTGGAATCTATGAGAAGGAACTTAAATCTTTGGTCATTAAGTCTCTCTGCTGGTGGGAGTCTTGATCTTCCCCAAGTGAATTTGAGAAACATTGACTTCTGGTTCTCTGTAAATTTATCAAATACTCTCCAGAATCTTTTTACATATTCATTATCAGGAGAGCAATTTGAATAATCGGTAATAGATTTAAGTGAAGCAGTAGCAATTTTTCTTGGACCAACAACACGGGTTTCAACTTCATTCCAACTGAAAATACCCAGACAGAAGGTAGGAAAGATGAATTCAAAGCCTTGTTTAACAGCTTTTGCTTGCTTATTAGCTTCATTAAGCCTTGTGTCAATGACTTTCTTATGATAATCCTCTACTTCTTCGAACTTAACTTGTTTATCTCCTCCATCTTCGCAGAGAGTAACTGTTTCTCCGTTTGAAAGCTGTGTGGTCCAGTTAAGATCCATTGCTTGCTCAAATTCTTCTTTACAAGTCTATATAATTAAGCTGATTGGCTTACTCCAAATTTGATATTCTCAACATCTTTGATGAACTGAACAGCATATGCATCTGTAAACTCCAAGTCTTCAAGAGTTAGAGTTTCCCCCGTTAACTTCTTCCAAAATAGTGATGGTAATTTCAGATTAAGCACTTGTCCTGACCTGAAGGCCATCCCTATGAGAGCACCCATAAATTTGTACATTTCTAAGTGTATAGGGCTTGTAGCTGAGGGATTCAAAGTCCATAAGTCTCTTCCAAAACCGTGATCATTTTTGTTATTCTGTGTTGGAATTAGTAATGGGAGATATTGGCTGTGAAGCTCATCACAAATGTTTGAGATGGTCTCTCTATAAGGCCCTCCTTCATCAATACTTCCTTCTCCTAGGAATTTAGCTTTCCAGGCACTTTTATTAGATTTATCAACTCTGAGGCAAGCATAGTCCTTATTTTTGCACATGTTCATAGTCTTTGCAAAGACTGTCCACTCTGCATTGTGGTCAACCAATTCTCTCTCTTTCTTTTCTTGCATTGCTATCCGGTCATATTTTATTTCAGGTTGTCCAACCTGAGATTTAAGAGTCTTGTAAATCATATTGAGGTACATTTTCTTGACAATCTGGAAGATCAGATCCTTGCTATTAACAAAAGTGTGGTACAATGATACTTCTGTTGAACTATGCCCTCTTCCTAGCATATTTTTGAGGAATGTCTTGTTTTGGATAATAAAAGGGATGAGCTCCTGGAAACTTATGTTTATGAAAAGATAAGCCTTTAATCTCGATCAAACCGCTTCTATCGGAGCATTCTTATGATCAAATTCTGTATTACTCTCTTTAAGCTTGTCATAAAATTCTTGAATTTGATTTTCTTTAAAATTTTCAATGTCTTCAGAGAAGTCTATTTGCGTTTCAATCATGTATTTGTCAAATTCTCTAAAGATAATAGCATCCTGTTTGTCATCGAACGATTTCAGAGTGTTAACATATTGGTGATATTCCTCCTTATTTTCAACATCGTCTTCATTATAATTGTATCTAGAATTAAAATTGTTAATGCTAGTAAAAGAAGACCATTTCCATGGTTTTGCTAAATTTAAAGATGGAAGTTTGAAGCAAGAATATTCGTGCTGGAATATTAGAAAGGTTTTTTGTGGAAATTGAGTTAAAATTTAGTGGGGTTTGAAAAGAGGGAATTATATGTTTGTATAAAATGACTTACGAAGTTCCGACAATATTTATTCTGAGAAAATGGCCATCAACTTGTTTAAAGTAATCTGATAGCAGTAATCTAGGCATTTCTACTCCTTCTTTTAATGGTTTGGATAGTCTGTAAAATATTAGTGGATTAATGTCGTGTGGTTCTTCTCTCATTATACTATTCTCATTGCTAAAAATAGTTTTATAGTTTATATCGAGAATTTCTTTCCTCTTCTGCTCATTTTCCATATGTACAACTTTTTCATAATCTCTGGCTAGTTCAGGAGACAAGAAGCAATTAGAGAGATAAACTGGTGCAAAATCTTCAGGAGTGTGGCTTTCTAAGATTTTTTGTTCTTCCAAATCTGCCCATTTCTTGCTTGGAATATCCCTGATGTAGGTCTTTGTTACATAGCAGATATTTGGAATTTCAACTAGGTATTAGGTGTAATTACATTACTTATTTTTGTTTCTTCTGCAGTTTTGTAACCTTGTTCTGATAAATAGATCCATTGATTATTCTAAGATATAAATATTGGTAAAATACCTGCTTCCAAAAGTGCATAGTTCCAATAATGGGCTTTTGCTTTGTGACGAAACATTCATATTCTGTATGAACACTGACATCGCACTTGATTGAATCATTTTGGAATGAGTCTTCCCACTTGATTGATATGAAGTTAGTATCATTTCCAGCTTCGATTCAGTTGTAATCGAGGTTGTCATAAGGCTTATGGTGGTAGACTCCATGCTCATTTTTCTCAACATTGCCTAGCCCTTTGAGATCTCCAATCATAAAGAACTTTGTGTTTTCCAGGTCTTTTTTATGGGAAGCATTGATGAGACCGGTATTTGCACCACATTTAAAATCCCTAATGACATAATCTTTGAAAAACTCTAGTTCAAATGGGTGATAAAATTCTGTTTCTTCTGAGTTGCTTAGTTGTTTGTGAAAGTTTGATCCCCATCCGTATAGTTTCCCTTTATCTGTAATTGCAAGAGCCCAATCTGAATATACGCTTACATCTACAAAATTTATATCTCGATCGTATTGTAAGGGGAAGAATCCAGGCTCATCTTTAGTCTGAGTTCCTCGGCCAGCAACTGCTGAAACTGGATCTTCAGCTATATATTTGTTATGAATTGCAACTTCTAAAATTTCAAGTTGAGTTTTAAAAGTCAAATATGCTTACTTCAGAGTGACCATAATTCATTTCTCTTCCTATTTTTGACCAGCATTATACAAGTGTTAATTGTTGATCCTTTGGTTGGGAAGGGCTTTATTGGAATGATTTTCCCTGGGAATAATAATTGATAGAATGGATGGACTCCATCCTCATCCTTACTTTCTAATACAACATTTTCTTCTTGCTCTCCTAAAAAGCTACTTCCTGAGACATATCATTTCCCATTATCAGTTGTATAAATAATATACTCATAGCCAATATCGAAATGAAGGACTTTTTCCTCTCTCTGGTTTGGCCTGAACAGATATCTCAAATTTTTCCAATTGCTTCATTTCTCCTCTAACTGATTGTTATATGAGTCTCCTTGGAAGTAGAACTTTCCTTTTGAAGTGAGAATTCCATAATTTTTGACTCCAACTTTAAGATCAACTATTTGCCCACTGATTTCATGGTTCTCAAATTTTTCGATCTCATAATATTTTGAAGGCCAGTCTGACTTCTGTCCACACCTGTAAAGTATATTATCTTTTGATAATGCGATAATGTAATTTGAGCATTGCTTAATGATTTGCATTTCTTGCTCTCAGTTCGCCATCTGAGTAAGATTTGTTGAGAAACAATTTGACTGTTTAGTCCCTAATTTTCCTTCACTTTGATCTCCAAAGCATTCAATTCTAGTCTTGAGTATCGGATAGTGGAGGTAAAAGGAATCCCCAATAATTTCAAAAGGCATATAAGTGCAATCTGGGGTTTCTAATAACTTGTAAGGAATCTTTCCTTCCCTATCCTTTGAGAATAGGATGTAGGAATTGTTAACAAAAATACTATCAGGGTCAACATCTAGTTCGATTTTGGTTGCTTTAGGAAAGGTATGTTTTGAACAAAACTTGTGATCATACCTATTTTGAACAGTTTTTATCATATTTTGAGGCTCATCTATATCTCTTTCAAGTTTGTCTGGCCAAGAAAGGTATGAGACAACATCAAAATTTGTCCTTCTTTGCAAAATCAACATTGCCCGTTCTAAGTCAAATAGGATGTCGTTGTAATTATAGAACGAATGAACTTGTGTGTTATTTAAGTCAATACTTCTGATCATTAGAAAGATTTGGTATATAATTTTCTGTTCGTCACTCAGGTTACTTCCTCTCAATATTTCAGTTGGCAAGTGTTCTGTAATGTTAGCCCAAATTTTATACCAAAGATTTCATTGAGCAAGCTATTCTGGAGGAGGTCTTTCGTCACTATAGAAAGCATATTTAGTGAGACTTACCATCTTTATGCTCTATTGAAAATAGTCCTTTAGTTTTAACATCTTTTTGGGGAGTTAGTTGCTTCATATCGATCTAAATTTATGAATTCAAATTAAAAATAATTGTAAAGAAATGTTTCTCTGACTTTTAGTTGTAATTTAAATTATTATATTTTGAAAACTAAAAAAATATTTTATGCAGTAGGATATGTAAAATATAGTTTAAAATTTCAACATTTCCAGATTAGAATGTCCTATAATAAATACAGGGTTGACAAACTTTGTCTAAAGATAAGGATTAAGTTAGATTTCAGCTCAGATTTTGCTACCAAAAAGTGACTGATAAAGGAATAAACTTTAAAGCTAATTCAGATTTTACCTTGTTCAAGTTCTCCTTGGCTCTGATCTTAGAGTAGACTAAACAATAGATGGCAGTATAGACTTCTATCCTAATTTGAGTGTCAGATCTGAAGTTAAAAGATATCAACAGAAGTGTATTTATCAGATGGCTATAGCATTTACTGTTGAGGATAACATCTGGACAATATTTGATCATTCATTTTATCAGATCCAAGAGGATATGGAAATTGAAAGAGGTTCTTGCCACTTCTTCCTGTTCAAAAAGCTCTGAGACTTTTTGGTATTGATGATCTTGACATTTTTTAAGAGATTTTAGAGTTTCTTGTATTATCACTTTATTCAATATTTCATGTAAAATTGGCTTCAATTTTTCTTTCTCAGCTCAAAATGAGAGGATTCTCTGGAATATTTCAAGTAAATTTCTATAAGGCAGGTCGTTGCCAGTGGTTATCTTTGAATTGAAGGTCTCATTTGCTGTTAATATAAGGTACTTGAGCAGCATATTCTCATTTTGTTGCTCATGACAAGTGGCTTGAATAATCTTTCCCAGCATGAGTTGCTCAAACAAAGCTGATAAGACTTTATTGCATGTATAATGATAGTACCCACTCAGAGCTTTGTAATATTCACTTTTGATGTCTCTATTTTGAACTTGGTAAACCTTTTCAAAGAAGTTGGATTTCTCTTGATCTTTAAAATGTTTTGTTCGCGCCAGGTTGCTGGAGTGAGAAGTTCTAGAATCTTGTTTAGACAATCGATTCAGATGGGAGAGATCGTCTTCTAGGTTGAGATTAGCTTGGATTTCATTGAAGAGATCTTTTATTATGTCGCTTTCATCATTGATTTGGGGAAGATCTTTGGGAGTTTTGACTATATGGATTTTATTTGAAATCAATCTTCTTCACGAAACTTCCTGGAGTAAACTCTATAGGGATGTAGTAATTCAGGGCTTACTTTCAGGCTTTTTCCCTCCAAAGATATCATGAATTTTATCTAGGGATTTTGATGTGATTTGGTTTGTTTCGATGAGTATGGCTTCGTTGGCACTTTCTGTAGGAGATAGTATAAATCTTTTTCTTATTTTAGAGAATGTCTTTTTGATTTTGTTCAGATCTTCTTGTTTCACAAAGATTATGCTGTCATTTCATCTAAAGATTTGATAAATTATTGAATTTGGTGCAGAGGTGAGTGAAAGTTTTAAATGTTATTACTAAGATTACATTATGCAAAAACTCCTGGCAAATTAGTGTTTTATACATTTGAGTCCTAAAATATTTATTTTTTAACTACCTATTAGAAAGAGTGCTTACTTATTATTCTGACCGAAGTTAGTTGAACCTCCAAGATCGGTAATGTTGAGGCTAATAACTGCTTCACATACTTCAGAATAATGGGTATGTGGTACAATTACTCCATCAGTTTGTTCGAATATTGAATCAAGAGCTTCCTGTATGCTTACTTGTATCTCCTCAGGCTCTAAGAGAACTATTGTGTGCTCAGTATCTTTAATTTTTAGGAATTTTTCATAGCTTATAAGTTTAAGTTGACTATTTTTAGGCTTATATTCTTTGTCGAAAGGAGTCCTCAGCTTTTGGTAGCAGGTATAGGCACCGTCTTTTGGAAGAGTCTTTGAAATTTTCACCGTTTCACCGAAATAAATGTTTATGTCCGAATTTTTGTCTGCTATATAGAGCTAATTAAAATATAAAACAGTGATGTAATCAAGAGGATAAGTTGTATTTTTAAACTAAAGAAATACCTTCAGGAATATTTTGAGATTTCATAGTTGATTTTCTACTTTTGTCTTTAAAAGGGTTTAGGGTTTCATCATTGGCAAATTTTGCTCCTCCTTTAGATATTCGTACAATTGTTCCTGCATTGATTTGAGTACTTGGGTGGGATATTCTTCCTATAGTCCCAGTAGATACGATTGTTCCACTTAACTTTCCACTAACTTCTGGTTTGGTAATTTCAAAAGGTTCCTTAGTCTCCTCTTTTGGCTCTTTCTTTGATTCCTCTTTGGATTCTTTTATTTGGGTAGATTCAATCTCGCTTTGATCATGAAGACATCAATCATTTTCAGTAGCCCTTTTCTTCAAGTAATATAATCTTTGCTCGAACCATTCTGGCAAGAAGGAGGTGTCTGACGTTGGTGTCTTTATTGATTCATGAATAAGAGTCATCATAAACTTTGAAGAAATTAGGCTGTTTAGCACACTTGTAAATCTTTTTCCAAATATTTGAATGTGTTCAAGGATAATTTTTATTCCTAGACTGCTTTTTCTTAGGGATTCAGGACGAGAATTGTCAACTTCTTGGCCAATTTCTAAGGAGTTTATTAAGTTGGATAAATTGGTCTTATTAAGCAAATACTCGTTCGCTTTCTGATCAATACTGGATCTTAAGATAGCCTTTTCAGGGCTGATGAGGAACACATCATTTCTTTCAGGGTTGTTTTCATCATACATTACTCCTAGCAAATTTCTTTGACCATGAGAGATTTCGAAATTAACTGGGTGAAGTTTGAGCCTTTTGGGCTTGTCGTACTTTATGGCTCCTGAGAGATCATACCATTTATCAGCAAATCCAAGAATTGTGAATTTATTTCCATCTTGAGTGATACCTCATGTGCCAATATTCATTCCTTTGTATTCTCCGCCTTCAAATAAGCTTGAGATAGCATCAAATTCTTCTAAAGGATATAAGTCTATGTCAGTGATAAACGAATCAAGCACTTTTTCTATGATATCTTTCCAGGTTGTGTCCTCTCGAAGCCTAAGAATGCCTTTAAACAATCTGACAATTGCACAACTGATAGAGTATTTCTCCTTGTTTTGTACCTTTGATTCTGAAAATTGGCCTGATCTTTGGGAGACCAGTAAATTATACATGCATTTCAGGAAGCAAGACTCTTTGAAATCAGCTTTTGTTTGTAGTTCAATTATGTTTTTGCCGAATTTTAGGCTTCCTATGTCTTTAAAGCACTGGTCAAAAATGTGAGGTTTTGTACCGATGTTTATTAGGTTCAGGATAAATTTAACTGCAATCACTGCATTTCTTGGGTTCGAGCAAAATATTAGCTTCGTAAATACAAGGATTTGGGTAGTGTTTGTGTTCTTCATTACTATTTTCTTTATAGGTTCATTTATTGTTGCAATAGAAGTAAATAGTTCAAGGAGTCTCAATAGCTTTAGGATTACAACTTCGTCATATTTATTTTCAGCTATTTTTTCTTGGGATTTATTATCTTCATGAGCAGGAGGGGTTGCTTGGTTTTGCATTTGTTGTTCTCCAATGGACAGATCATCTAGTCTACCATCATGATCATTTCAGTCAGCTAAGCCTTTACGTTCTTCGTAGTCTGATTCTTCTTCTTCACTCTCGTAAGTATATTCAGAACTAAGAGATCTTGAACAAACTCGGTTTGAGGATTCAAGCCTTTTGTTTTTGAAAGGCCCTGCCCTTTCAGTTTTCCTTCTGTTTATTGATGGCTTGTCTGAATCAACTATTGATTCTATTTTGGCTTGCGAAATTTTCTCTGTGTATATCAGAGTTTGCTGCAGAACTATTTCAAAAATTTGAAGAATGAATGCTTCAGTAACCCCAGTTGTGATTACTGATTGAGTTTCCTGGATCTTTCCTATTGAAGCTTTTGTTGTTGAAAGCTGCATACTCTTGTCCTGACCTTCTTCGAGAATTCTTGCAAAGCAGAAAGTTATTATATATTCAAGGGTGTCTACTACTGTGTGAGAAAGAGTCTCAAATCCAGGATTTGCGAGATAGTTGATTGGTTTTCCCCAACAGAATTTTATAGGGTTCTTTTTTTTGTCTTTATCTCCGTTTCCATCTTTAAGAACTTGTATTATACCACTCCTAAGGATGTGCTCATGATCTGATGCTCCTATTTTCCATTTTGTACAGTTGAGGAGGAATTGAATTGTTCTCTCTTCTGTTGCAGCTTTTAGATGCCTCACAATGCTGTTATAAATCTGATAGAACGATTTTCTACAATCATTAAGCAGATAATTTCCTCATCCCAGTATATCGTCTGAATAGTGAGCCAGAATACCCTTGTTCTTTCTGAGAGAACTTCAAAACCACATAAAAGTTGATTTTTTTATTATATCGGGCATCTTGAAAGATGTTATTTTTGCCATTATCTTTAGTCCTCATAGCCTCTTCATTCCCTTTATGTACTTCTCTTCAATATCTTTGATGATGCTTTCTGCAGACACTTTACATTGAAGAGTGGCAAGTACAGAGGAGGCTCATGAGTTAAAGATCTCTTTATTTGATATATCTTCATAGCTCGTTATAGTTCCAGATGAGGCTTTAATCCCTCTAATTGTTTGAAGACGAAGTAGAACACTATTAGCTTCTTCACTTATACCTGTATCCTCATCAATCTGCCTGAGTCGTTTCTCTGAAGAATCTCTCAGTTTCCATATTTGTGGAGTGTCGAGCTTGATCAAAAGCTCAGCTTTTTGACATACTTCCTGTATAATTGTTTCAATTCTCTGTTGTTCCATTCTCAAGGCTTCTTCTTCAGATGCCGGTTGGATTACCCCCAAAGAAGTTTCTCCATTCAAATCTAACTTCTCTTCTTCTTTAGAATTTTCCTGGTTCTGTTGCATTTTAGCCTTTCTTTCAAGTTCCTTCTTAACGCTATTTGCTATATCTGTCCGCTTCTCTTGGAGCCAGATTCTCATTTTGCTAGCAGATTTCCATCTATCGAATATTCCTTGGACATTTCCTAGGCTTTTGATTTCTTCAATACATTCTTTATTTTTCAGGTCTCCAGGCATGTTTTGATCACAATCTGACATGAATATGTCAATTTGGTCGAATAGCATAGTCAGATTTTCTATGTTTCATTCTTGGTCGTGTCTGTTTAGGGATAGGTTAGCAGCAAAAGCACATCTGGCGAGTAGCATTCCTTTGTCCCCTCCTGCTTTTGCCGATGGGGATTTTTGGAGAAGATCCCATTGCAAGAGTTCGATAAATTTGTCTACCAAGGCGTCTTCGCCTTCGTATATTAGTGCATGCATAATTTTATTCTCCTCTTCAACTTCATCTTCAAGCTCGGATTGGGAAATATTCTTTGCCAAGCTTTCATCACCTGTTATTTTTCAGAATGTGTTGACACATTTAAGGGTTGAGTCGCTGAAAGTGCTAATAAATCTATTCTGAATACCAGCCGAGAAAATATTGGCTCTTAACAAACTCTGATCTTTATCTGTCTGTATTAAAGAGTCTAGTTTGATAAGTCCATGAGATATTTTGGAAAGACCCCAGAATAGGAACTGGATTAAGCCCTCTGGAAGCTCTAGTAAAGTTTTCATTGAATTTTTATGAGAGTTGTTGGCTTCCTTTGTGTTAGGATCATTGCTATATCATGTAATATACAAACCTTACTCAGTGAATTCGACTAGATCTGCTAACAGTTCAGCAGTTCCCATGTAGAATGGTTGATAATACTCTTTCATCTCATGTTCTTTCTCTGAGACGACAATTGCAAAGCATGCGTGGACAAGTTTGCAAAAGTCATTTGAGGAATAACAGATTTCATAAAGGTCTGTGTAGTATTTGATGTAGCTCTGATTTACTTCTCCTTCTTTTGAGTTCTCATCTGATTCTTGCTCTTTAAATTTCTGAGTGGTTTGGTTCGCTGTTTGGAATATTGTTTGGCAACTGTGAAGGATTTTATTTATAAATTTTGGAGAAAATTTGCATATTTTCTTCGATTTGTTGGTATATCTCTTCTTCTGTTTTCTCAGTGGATTTTGGAGATTTGGTACTGTAAGGCTTGAAAAGATATAAAAGGCTTTGTTTTAAATATGATCTTATGAATTCAGAGCAAACTTTCTCTGCTTCTGTCAATTCAATTCCTTTGTAGACAGTCTGAGTTGGTAAAGCAAGGACTTCTGACTTGTATTTTTGGGAGATCAATTCTCATGCCGCTTCGAATAGCAGTCCAAGTTCTGGCTGATTCAAATAATTTTCAAGATTTCCTGAGTGACTTAGAAATTTAATGAACATTATTCCAAATTGGTCAAGCATATTGGAAGTAATGCCTTCAGTTGTTTTTGTAAGGTTTTCAGACATCTGGTGTTCAGGTATAGACAAAAGGTTTATCATTCTAGTAGAGATCTCTTTGCTCTCAGTGATAATAGAGTTCCAAATTGAGCTGATTTCAGAGCTAAAACTTAGTAAAAGACTTACAAATTCTCTGTTGAATTGATAGTGACTCTTTCAAACCCTTTCTCAGCTAATTTGTGGACAATTTGGGAAACAATTTTAGCGAGTGCATCCTTTACTGCAGGGTTTCTGATCAAATCTTTAGGTTTTATTTTCAGTGTTTCAAGAGAGATAATAAATTTGTTAACTATTTGGAGAACTCAAAGGAATTCATATTGTTGGAGGATATTGTCATCATTCATCTCATTGTCACAAAACTTTACAAAAGCTTGAAGGGATTTTACTAATTCTTCTGCAAAAGTACTCGTTATGTTTCAGCAATATTTACTCCTGTAAAGCTCAGATTGGTATTTCAGCTTTTGATCTTCTGATTTTAAGTCTAAGGAGTTTAGGTTCTTTAGAATTTTGTCCGTTTCATCACATCCTTTGCTGATAATGTACATTATTAAGTAAAGGGAGAAATTCTCGGAGTTGTTCTCTGGGTAATCAAAGCTTATTGGTTTCACAAAATGCCTATCTTCTAAGGTCTTCAAGAAATCGACCATATTGGCTGCCTCAACCTTGTTTTCGACTTTTTGATGAGCTAGCACTTCTTCAGTCTTCTTGGTCATAAATTTTCCAAGATGTTCGTAGTTTTGTGAGTTGAGCTCGTATTTGCCTCTGAATCCATCTATTTTCAAAGAAGTTAGGAGATTCTCATTTTGGCTTTGAGAGTAGGGGTCTGTCCAGAACCAGAATGTGTTTGTTTCAGGGTCATAGCCGATACATTTCTTGTAGGGAAGGGATAACACTTCTGAATATCTGGAACCAGATTTGAGAGAGAAGAAGTACATCTCGCTGTTAACTGAGATGACAAGTGTTTCACCATTTGTGCAAAATAAGCAATCTCCTATCTTTTCGTCAATGAGGTTGTTCCAGATTGCCTCAGAATCCTGGAGAATTTTGAATTTTTGAGAAGGAGACAGATTTCGGTCTTCTTCTGGTTGGAAATCAAGCTTCACTTTGGAAATGAAATCCAGAGTTTCTGAGTCATAAATCTCAACTTCATAATGAGAGATTGTAGTTCTATCTCTTAATATGTATGATACTATCAGATAGAGCTTATCGCCATCAGTGAAGATTGGTGAGCACTTTACTGATCTAAATGAGTCTAAGTCATTGTTTAAGAAACACTCTTCAAGAGCAGATTGCTCAGTATATTCAAGGATAGGCTTGTTCCAGTTATCTTCAGGTTTCCTCTTATTTTCATCAATTTTTGAGATGTATTCTTCTGACTTAGTTGTCAATAAATTACATTGGTCTCTGACCTCAAAGGGATTATCATCTGTCTTAGTTTCCCTTCTGAAAAATAATTTGTCATTTAAAAGGACTAGACTAGCTTTTGAGGGGTGGTCATCATGAGTGTGCTCGTAAACAATTCCTGGTAGTGAGTTAGGAGATTTCTGATATCCTATTTTATATATTCCATCTTGATACAGATACATAAATTTTTGGCCAAACGAAAGTCTAGTATGCTTCTTTGAATCTATATTGCCATCAGCCCCTGCGTATATTTCAACCTCTTCTCATTTTTTGTCATTTAGTGTGAATAAGCTCTTCTTTTCGTTGCTATCCACTTTTTCCTGAATTGATTGGAGGTATGGGTTCATAGAGAGTTCAGGGTATAGGTTCATTTTGAGAGAGTGAGTCATTATGATATTGAAAGCAACAAGGTAGTCCTCTCCAGATTGCCTGATGTTACCAATCATAATGATAAGTCTCACTACTAGCTCCTTAATCTGTTTACTAGATTCTTCTGCTTCAGCAAATTTGGTTAAATAGTTCATTGTTTTATTCAAGATTTGCTCTCTCGAGTAAAACTCATAAGTATTTGGGTCGATATCTTTAAATTTTTGTTCTAGAATAGAGGAATAGAACAACTTCAAAGCTCCCTCCTGCACTTTGGGGGTTTCTTCAAATATCTTCTGGACTAGGAAAGGCGAAAATGATTGAGTAATGTCCAGACCATGCACTTCCATAATTTCTATGCTTTAAGCCAGACTTATACCTTTGTGGGTTTTCTCAAGCTCTTTAGAGAGGTTTAAATAGAAATCTTCGTTTCAACCTCCTTCTGAAACCTTTAATTCTGAGAGTTCCTAAAATTGGTTTGTATTACTATCAGCTTATCATTTAATTTCGTGGAACTTAGAAATCAAGAACCAGAGGAATTGCTATCAATTTCGATAGAAACCAAGGAAGAAGTAAAGTTGACTTACAGAATAAAGCGTCAGGAACTTCATAAACTGTTCTGAGTAATACTCATCTTGCTGGTCGCAACTTGTATCAACAACATTGAAATACTTTTGGAATCCTAAAGAATGAACATTAGCAAATAGCTTTTCTTAAGATGAGTGTTTTAAAGTTAAATTTTTGAAATAAACTCAAGATTTTGCCAATATCTTGATGGTCAAATAAAATATAAGTTTTCCACAGGGCTCTATACTTGGTGAGATGAGGGATGTATTAGTCTGAATTAGCCTAGCATTAGGAATAAATAGAGCTGCTTAGGGTATTATATCCCTGAACTGTTCAGGCACATAATGGAACGCTATAGGCTTTGTTTTAATTTGCATCTCTTGGTGGATTTTTCAACTGATCCTCAACTTTTCCTCAAGCAAAGAGAAAGATATTATGTAGCAGAGATGGCTCACAAATTAAAATCTCAATGACTGAAGAGCTATCTCTCCAGAATTTTAGTTTGAAAGAAGAGATATGTATCTAAATGCCTTTATATCAACTCTTGAGAACATTCCACAAGTTTAAAATTTGAGAGAATCTTTCAAGAAAATGAATGAATTTTTTAACTAAGATGTTAGCACATTTAAGGTGGATCATGAGTATTTAAGCGATAAGAGGTAAATTTTATGCTTAATGTTTCCATCTAAAGAAAAGGAAGCCATAATATACTAGATATGAGTTGTTAGAAAGTAATATGAATCTTTCTCAGAGATTTTAGCAGTCATTAGCTCATTTGATATCTTGAAATTTATTGATGAGATCAGATACTTACTCGTATCTTTTAAACTGTTTTCTAAGTACTCGGTGGTCGCTAAACCAGCAGTATTTAGCTCATTCATTTCTGCAACAAGATTTAAATTGCTTTTCTCCATAATCTCTCTCTTGCAGTTGTTATCTAGCAAAGTTGTGGTGCCTTCACAGTTGAAATCATTGAAGCATACTTCATAATATCTTCTTCTTTGGATTTTTAGAATCACTATGGGATATCAAAAAGACTAGATATACTAGATTCAGTTTTAAAAACTGTGCTTGCAAGCATGTCTTCTACGTTGAGCTTCTTTTGTTCAGGCAAAGATTGATCAAATCCTTCACCTAAAATGCAAGTTGATTAGAAGCTCTAGGGCGCGGTTTATAAAAGCTAAGCAACATCTTAATCTGGTTCCTTCTTCTATGGGATGTCTTCTAAGAAGAGTAACCAAATTAATTTGCAATAGAGTCAGCAAAATTGTATAAAAGTTGCTTACTTCGAAGGATACTTTTATTTCCCATTTTTAATACAATTTTAAATTTTATTTTTGGGGTTTTGGGGTTTTGGGGTTTTGGGG